AATCTTCGTGCTGGGCCGCTTCTAAGAGAGGCCATCAGGCGGTATGAGCAACTGTGGTTGCCTCTTGCTGCAAGGCATAGCACCCATTCCCAGATGGCGGCTCCTTTGGACATTGCATGGGTGTGGCATGTACACATGCTTGCCCCATATCATTACGAAAAGGATTGCGCCAATGTAGTGTCCAAAATAGTCGATCACTCTCCTTTAGACGTCTCGCAAAGACAGGAAGGTCTTCAAAATGCAGAACGTCTCTGGCGAAAAGCCTTCCCAGCCGAACCCTTTGAAGTTGATCTAAACAACCCTCCGACAGTTGTCATAAATTATCAATCCAGAATACAGTACAAACTGGAGGAAGGTTGTTTACGTCAGTTCAAATTCTACTACCAAGTTTCGTTACCCCATTACAGAGATGACCAGTTCCTCTCACAGGCAGTTGATCGTTATGAACATCATCTTCATCTGAAAAGTCAGCATCTGAACGTTTTTATGGTTCCATGTTATGATTTTGACCTGATTTGGCACGTGCATCAACTTCATCCACTGAATTACAGGCATGCGACAGAGATGATTCTGGGAAAGCCCCTGCATCACGATGATACTGAAACAAGTCGAACCCCAGGGTCTAAGTTGTATGATTCTGAAATAAAAACAAGGGAAGTCTGGGCAGCAAGTGGCAAAAGTTTTTTCAAGCCAGGAGCCATGTACAGAGGTGATCCACCAGAGCCAAGACCACCAAGAAGCAAATGGTTTTATGCTGCCCTCGCACGTTCAGAATATCCATGCGAATTCAAAAGCATTGATGCACAGGGACTGAAGCGAAAAAAGACATTTGTCGTTCGGTTGGTAAATATATTCCACAGAAAACTATTTTCACAGAAATTCAAAGGGGATTCTAAAGCAAGTAATCCGCGTGCTAAAAAGTTTACTTTCGACAATGGGGACAAAACTTCAGTTAATGTTCGCCTTTATAGAAAGAAACTGTTTGGGGAGAGGTTCATTGCACAGGAAAAGTTGAATCTTCTCCCCTACCTTGAAGATGTGCCGTTCGTCGACCATGCAGTTGGACCTTATCAGCAAATCACAATTGATGTTCCTCTGGTCAGTTATCCAGAGCAGTATGTGGCAAAGGTAACCGTGGGGATTGATTACCCAACTATTGTCAAATACAGCTTTCAAATTCAAGCTGAAAAACATTTTACATATTGCGCCCATCCGTCAATGATTCTGAGTTATCCGCTGCTGACAGTAATTTCACCAAATGATCTTTGCAAGCCATCTGTCCCTTGTGAATATTCCATTCATCCTGTGTTAGACTGGAGAGAGAATCAGGTCTTCAGTTGCCGAGTTGTTCATTCAACGGATGCGCTTTTGTCTGCTGCTGAGATCATCAGTGTTCACGGAAAGGTGGTGGCAACTAGCCATACAATCGGCGCTAGTACACTTCCAGAGAAAGGCGACGTACGAGATCATGAAAACAGCGTCTACCTGGAACAGAAGAAAGGTGAGAGAGCGATGCTTATCCGAGGTCAGAAAGACTGGGCGATCTGCATTGGCAGATGGCAGTGGACACCTAAAGTTATCGGTAGGAGAAATTCAAAGGCACAACACTATGTCAAAATAAGAGTCTTCAAGCTGTTTGGCCAGTGTGGATGGTGTTCTGTTCGCAAATACGAAAATGGATTGTTCATAATCAAGGTTGATTCTGACACCATGGTGAGAATAGATCTTAAGGAGAATAAAGTTGTATTATCTCCTCGAGCCCAGGATATTCCAGAGTTACTGGCCTTGGCATTTTCAGTGTCTATCTTGTATCTTCTTTGCACACCTTACGAGCCAGAACCGCCCCTGGAACCCATGCCCTCACTAGCTAAAGGCTCCAACAACAGCGTAGTATCTCCTTCTTTTCACAGTGCTGGTTACTTCAGCAAAAGGGTGCCAACCAACGTGTTTCTCTCGGTGACAGGAAAAGGCTGCAGGATCGCTTACCAAGCCCTTTCTCAACTTGACTTTTACGATTTCTACAATGATTTCAGCTACGTCTGGGGCAATGATTCCGCACAAGCAGAAGGTGATAGTTACTGGGTTGGGGTGGGTTTTGATTCAGGAGGAGGTGGGTGCTTCAGTGATACTGGCAGTGGAGGTTGTGTGGGAGGGGATGGTGATGGTGGAGGATGTGTTGGCGGTGGTGGAGGCTGTGTTGGTGCAGATGGTGGTGGTGGTGGTGATGGAGGAGGGTGTGGTGCTGGCGGAGGATGTGGTGGAGGGGGATGTGGTGGTGGTGGAGGATGCGGCGGAGGGTGCGGTGGAGGGTGTGGTGGAGATTAGGGCTCGGGTTACATTGGCGGACCTAGGGAAGGGCCCAAAGAGCCCGGGCTCCCAACGTATTCTAAGACCAAACTGAAACCCGCAGGGCAAAGAAAGTTTCCGAGGCCTCGCCCCACCCCTCATTTACTTGAAGATCTGAAACCGCCACTGGTTTGCATTGGACATTTAACTGCCGTGTCCTTTTTCATACTGGAATTTTGACTTTTTCCCACTAACATAAACTAGTAAACGATGAAATGATGCACCGATAGGTTATCAACAACAACAACAACAACAAACTGACACATTGTGGTTGACATTCCGTTTTGGCTTTTGTTTAATGAATAAGCTGAGCTCTTAAACAGGACAATGATTTTGGGTGAGTATAAATACAACATGCCGATACCCTTCGGCTCAGCTGAAAATTAAGATAGGTATGTGGCTTACAAGAAATCGCCAAAGAACCGAGAATAATAAGTGCTACACTGTACCTATGTAGCAATGTATGGGAGATCCAGTTAAGCCAAGAACATTTTCAAGTGGAAAGCACAAAGGCTGAATACTAAGTACATACAAGATTTAACTTTGGAGAAACTATCAATCCAACATCACACTGTTGAAAACTTGACACAGCCACAGAGCAGGGGTTTAAACTACACGACTGCAGTTTAAGGTGCAGATGTGCAAGTGTGAGTGCAGGTCCGTAGGTGCAGCGTCGGATGAGATGGATGATGCTATTATGGTGTCACAGCTTATACCATAGTTAGTAGAGGAGACTGGTTAGGAAAGCCGGCAAACATCAAAGTTGAAACAATGGTGCTGTAGGTTACATTGGAAGTTCCCTGACTGTGCACAATCCTTTGTTTTTTGCTCACAAAATGTGATTGAATCAATTAATGTGATGTTTCTATTGGTCAGTAAGTTCAAAATGATAGGAATGCTATTGAACGTTGCACGGTCAGGTCCAAAAAAGCTAACTAAAAGCTATAACAAAGGGTTTCCCAACCATTCCACTTTAATTAACTATGCTTATACAGACCTATAAAAAAATTGGGGATAATGGGTTAGACAACACCCCCAAACTTAATCGGTGTACTAGTTCTAGTTTTTTTTAAGGTAATATTATTAGAGTTATGACTTGCTTAGTGTCAAAGATATTTCTATGGATCAGTCTATTTTCTTCCGTCTGGGGTAGGAAGGAGAAAGCTACCCCAACACTGTGCTATTCGTTGTCTAGAGAACTTCACACCGAAATTAAAGATATGGTCATTACAACATCCTACTTTCACAGAAAATATTGTTAACCATTCTAAAAGAATCTTCAAATCTAAGCTTTTGGGATGTTTTGGTGTATCTTTATCGTTTGGTTTTGCCAATATAGGTTCGTATACTTTGACACAATAATGACGTCATCTGAAACAGCACCTGTGTAGTAAATGAGACAGGACTGGATATGAACTCTTCAACATGTGATGTAAATATTGTTGTTCCTTCTCTGGTGTGCATCAATGTACATCAATGACTTTTTTTAGCTGTTAAAGTGAAATTCGTCATATGATCTGTCCTGTACCCGTAAATGGCTCACCAGTCGCTACTAGTATAGTAGGCACTGGTTACTCCGTTTTCATGGTGAAGGAATTTCATTTACTTACAGGAACATTGAATTAACAAATGAATGTGTTGATTTAATTACCTAGGTCATCCTCCAAGGTCCATCCTTATAAACCTTTTTTTGGCTCGTTTTCCATTGCTATGACTTCGAGCAGTACCCATTAATTTTGTATGAAAACCCAGAAAGGTGTTCTAATGGTTTCGTTATGTGTTCCTCCTTGTGTGGGTTAGAGTTACGCTAGAATAAGGAGTGTGCGGGGGCAGGAATGGTACGTACATGAGGATATTGCTGTTTCAGGTCAATTCTGTCATTAATTATAGTGACCGTATCAAACAAATTTCACCAGGGAACAATAACTACCATAATTTTGTGGTGAATTTTACAGGCATTACAGCATTAAAATAATTTTGAAAAAGTTGGCTCAACAAGTTTCAATCCATTTCCATCCTTGCCATCCGTTGCAACAGGCGACAGGAAACAGTTTCAAAGCCAAACTAAAGTCTTAAATAACAAAACTGGACCATTACATGTATATTTAGAATTTAACAGTTGCGAAAAAGGTTTTAGCTTTTTAAATACGATAGCAAATAGCACGTGGTAACTTACCCCTTAAGCAAGATAAGTATGGGAAATGGAAGCTCCTTCCATTAAATTTGAATAACACTTAATACTGGTTAACTTGCGATCAGGTGTCTTTCTTCCCTTTTTGTTTTTTCCCCGCCAAATATAAAAACGCCTGATCGCAGGTTAAATACTGGCTTCACACGAAAACAGAAATATGACTGTTTTGAAATACTAGGTATGAATAATATTGTTCAAAAAAGAAGGCAGAAAAACACCAATGCAGCTTTTCTTCAGATAATGATATTTCCAAGAAATATGACACTGACTTTGTGTAAAATACAAATAATGTTTTATGTAAGTCTTTCCTATCAGAGGAGAAATGTTGTTATTAGTTTTTCTCCATATGTGTCCTCTTGGCTTTCTGTTGGCTTATTTGAGGGCAATTTTACACTAGCTAATTAAAGGATTCTTGAATGCAAATTTGCTTGCCTTCCAATAGTAAAGAAGAAATTCTTGTCTGTTATTTTCGGATGGCAAAATCACTGAACTCCAGTTTGGTGATTGTTCTTTCATTTTTAAATTCACACCTGTCAATTCTGGACTTTGGGCTTCCAGTTTCTTTTAACCATCTCTTCCTTGAAAACAAACATGAAACAACCAAACACTTGTTAATTACAACAACAACAAAAAACATTCACTTATGAAATTGCCAAATTGCAAAACGGAGCCAAAACTTTGAAACCTCACTTTGCAAGAAAACAAGCATTCAAAGTTCATCATCATTGTTGTCATTATCATCAACGAAGTCATCACTGTCTTCATCATCACCATCATTAACATCATCATCACCATCATTAACATCATCGTCACCATCATTAACATCATTGTCATCATCATTATTTCCAGCCTAATAAACATCTGAACCATTCTGGCAGACCCAGACCCAGGGCTGTCATTAAGAGTTGGGGGCCGGGGATTTTTCCCGCCTACTAAGAATGTGGCCCCCGACTACTTTCAAAGGAAAAGTGTGGAAGAAAATAGAACCAAAAGAAACCCCTAGCTGTTTGATTCCCCGTCTACTTCTTGTATTTTCCTGGCAACTTAAAATCTTAGTGACGACTCTGCAGACCTGGAGGGGTGGGGGCTGCAGGTGCTTATTCAGAGAGGGAGAGGTAGCTCTCCAAATACCGTAAAATTCCGAAAATAAGCCCCGGGGCTTATATTTTTCAAAGGCCCTTTTTGAGGGGTTTATTTTTGGAGGGGCTTATCTACGGACGGAAATTTGCATTTCAAAATCGATTGGGCTAGCCTTATAATTAGAAGTGAATTTACCGTTTTTGCTTTGTTTTACTATGTATTTGAGGGCAATTTTCCAAGTACAAGCCCCTGGGGGGCTTATATTTGGAGGAGCTATTTAATGGAAGGTTGTTTGCGTTACCGGTTTGGAGGGGCTTGTACATGGAGGGGCTTATTTTCGGAGTTTTACGGTATATTTTATGGGGCCCGTGAGACTCAGTTTAACCTGAGAAAAGGGTCGATTAGCCACTGCAAACAGTATCCTAATCAATAACCTCTTTATCTTTTTTTACCATCATTATTGCTGATTATCATATTGCAGGGTTAAAAAAAAATTCAAGAAAGGCAAGAAAGGGTACAGGCAAGTCATCCTCCAATAAAATCATTACCTAAGAGGAGCAAAAAGTGACACTGGGCAATCAAAATGTGATATTTGCAGCTGCTTGCCCAATATTAGCCCTGTCATTGATCAACATTATTCAACAACCTTAATCAATCTTTTTGTTCTAACTATTGTCATAGTCGAAATAAACATTGTCTATCAAACAGCAAAATAAGAAAGTCTTACATAAGAGAAACTTTTCCTGTGTCTCCTTGCAATTGTCCGACCACAGTGTTGTGTTGTGTGTTCATCACCCAGCCAACCAGGGAATGCTTGCCTGCATTAATCCGAGTGTGCTGAAGCAACATTAGCACAAAAAATTAGCACAAACAAATTAATTTACATCCATAAAGGAATAGGTCAGACATCTTGTGCATTTTCACCATGATTTTAGCTGGGAACGCATTAGCCTCCCAAGCAGATGTTCTTAGGAACTTGTCAGAGGATTGTGTGACAAGCCAAAGGAACGTCTGCACGGGAGGCTATGAAAGCATTAATAATATTGCTGAGGTTAGACTGTAGGTAGTAATGTACAAATTGATTAATGATTAATGTAAATGTCTTTAACAACTGTGGACAAAATGGTATTTTTTTATGAAAGACAAGTTTTAAAGTAAAAGAGGGCTGTTCCAAGCATGCATAGCATTCTTTTCTGTGATGTGTGGGAAAGATGAAGTGAATCAAGTGTCATGAATTGGATTATTTCCTGGACAAACACATTTTGACATTACAATGTATTTGACATACACCTGTATAAATCTTTTGTGCACTTAGTACCTATAATTCAACTCTTGAGCTCAAATTATTCACATTGAATTCATTGCAGAAGTAAAAACTTAATTGTTTAACAGTGTCTACAAGGATCCTTACCTTTCGAAAAAAGACACCTGTGTAAAGGAATAGAATGGCAGCAATACATTATTTCAGGGGTTTATTAATCAAAAATGCTTGTTTTCATGTACATGTACATGTAAAAACCAAATTATGTGAAAATAAATATTATTAAATAAGTAAATACAGTACATAATTTTGTCTCATAAATTTTGAAAAGGACTGCAAAGACAACACTAGATCGATTACTGGCTCTAGCACCACCATTTTGTGTTTTGATTCCATAGCCTGCATGCAGACGCGAATTCCCATCTCCTAAGCTGATCACGGAAAAGGAAACAAAGCAACAAAGAAAATAGGAGACATCTGCACACAGGCTATTGACACTCCAGTTTGATTGCTTTGTCATTCCCAAGTGGAGCAACAATAAAAGCAAAGCTGTGATTGGAGGAGTCACCATTCTGTGAGCTTAAAGCAAATCACTTCCAGAAAAATGGAAGCTGAAATCTGATTGGCTATATGTGGCAAAAGGAATGTGATTGGTTCTTAGCAGTCGTTTGTGAGGAGCATTGTGTGATGACACAGCTAGATTGTCGTAATCCAGAACCAGCTCGTCCCCTGTGCCACTGGGACCCTGAAAACCTTATAGCCTATACCAGACCTAATTTAGCTGAAGTTTGCTACTCTAAGCTAGACTAAACTCCCAAAATCTCTCCCTTTCCTAGAGTCGCTATTTTCCAGAAATTACTGAGGTCAAGGGTTTGTTTGCTATTAAACCGAGTTGTGGGTAAATTAAGATTTTTTGTCAAACTCATTTTTTGAGTGCCAATTCCCAAGTTCCCTTGTCTAGACTAAAATCTTCAACCAACTGATCAGTTTCCTGGAAAATGATACCCTATTCTAGGCCCAATCTCTCTGATCTGATTTCTATGCCATATCACAGACAGCCGCACATCTACATATCCTATACATGACAAAACCCTCCCCCTACGGGCCTTTTGACCTCTCTGACTCTCAGAAAGATGTACCAGTTCATTCTTCACCCCATCTCTCCACTTCTCTAACAAGTCACATGTTTCCATAACTAATTAACTATAGGCTAAATGATGAGCCGATTGAGTGAGAAGTTCAGAGAAACTTCTCTTGACATTTACTGAACCTCCAACACTGCAATGTCCTGTAACTGAGTCTGCCTTTCAATACTTAATTTTTTAGAGGATATTTGGATTTCTTGTAAACAAGCCTCATGCAGGGTGCAGTTCGAAACCAGCTAGATGCATCCCTATGGACAATTGAGCATACCTTGAACTTTCCCGAATACTTCAAAGTCCACAGAACGCAAACTCTTGCCGGCCATGTTTGTTGACAGGCAACGATTATGACAACGACTTCATATAATTTGTCACAGAATATCACCCTAGATTCGTCCCCAGTGCGCTGTGTACGAAACTGATGCCTGTATTAATCGACTGAGAGAATACCGAAGATGAGTCTAAATACTTATAGGAAGAACTGCTGTTTTCCTTTGAGGTAAAGTTAGCTTTAAAAATAAATTCTTTTTATTCAATCATAGTGTTCTCAAGGGAATTTGCCGTTTCTTTTTTTCATAAATCGTGCACACATAAACACGTGGATTGAACCACATTTCCAAAAAACAGTTCCATAGCGTTACATAACTTGGTCACATGGTCTTTTTCATGGTGCACAGTTTTCTTTCTTATTTATCCTTAAACCAGACATGTATGAACAAAAATTTTAATGTATACAAAGGATAATTTTTATAAGTAGGGAGTGCCCCCAAGGTGCAAGGTACTGTAAGCTGTAAACGCTCTATATAGCTAATTGGTTCCTTTAAATACACTGTAATACCCCCAACCCTCCTCCACCGGCGATTATTTAGCACCCTCAAATTCAGAAAGGAAATAGTATTTACATTTTAAAAGTGCCTGGGCACTAATTTAAGCATTTAAAGCATTCAGAAAATCCTTGTAAATATGTTGACATTAATTTAGCATCACATTTGTTCTGTTTGTTGACAGTTCTTTGCCCAATGTTGTGATACGTCACATTGCTCAGTATTTGGGCCCAAGGGACCTTGGAAACATGAGTAAAGTCAATCAGTATTTCCGTCAAGTATTCAATTCACCACAGCTCTGGAATGGCATCAAAATATCATGGGACAGAAATAGCGAAATTAAGATCGATCCTCTAGTCTTGGAGACAATTAAGTCAAGAGGAATAACAGAATTAGTGATATGGACTAATTATAATATTGTGGAAAGGAAAATCGATCTAATGCTTCAGTGTTTACCTTATCTTGAAGGGCTTTCCTTTTATTCCACATCACTACCGATCTACAAATCTTTGCAAAAGTTTGCTTCGAGTTGCCACTTGGACAAGTTAAGGAAGCTGTCCTTTGGGCATGTATTCCTATCGCTTTGGCAGTTAAGTAATGTTGACCATGTTTTCACTGCTTTATTTGAGCAATTACCAAGATTGCAAGAACTTGGCTTTGGACGCAATGAACAGCTTCCCAGTGGTTACCCTATGTATGAACTCAAGGTACAATTCTTATAAGTTATTATAATGCTAGTGAGATGTGTTAGGGCTGGACAATCTGCAAGCCAGTGAGCCATAAGAAAAATGAAGTCTTATGAAATTGGAAATTCATTAAAAATATTTCCAGCTTAGTTCCCTATGGGTATGTGAGCTTTAATTTGCACTCATCTTACAGATTAGGGTTAAGCACTCTGTAGGATTAAACACTATACCTGCCAACTCTCACGCCTTAGGCGTGAGTCTCACGCCTGCGGGTTGAAAACTTCGATCTCACGCTGGCTCACGCCTGCGGGCCAATTTCTCACGCCTGATTGAAAAATGTGAGTTGTTGCCGTCTTGGTTGACACAATTTCCAAAAATATGTTAACTCAGACCCATGTAAGGAACGAAAACCATGTGTAAATGAATAAATAACAGTACCTTCCTCGCGATCTCTGATTTTGTGGATAAGCGTTTTCTCGATAACTTCGCCTTCGCCAGACTTCGGACGTCTTCGGAAGACTTCGGACTTCTTCGGAAGACTTCGGACTTCTTCGGGAATCTTCGGAAATGATCGTGTCGTCTGAAAAAATCCCAGAACTCCCAGGATAAAAATCTCACGCTTATATCTCAGAAAAAGTTGGCAGGTATAAAACACTCATTTACAAAGGTTAGCATTCACTTATTTTTTCTCTATTATTGTGTTTTTAATTTTTTATTCCTTTTAATCTCATGGCTCTGCATGGCTCACTGGCATGCACTGTGTCCTAACTCTATGTTTGTCATGATCTTTATGCCAAGTAGATGTAATTTATGTTGCTAATGTCTAGTTTCATAGTGAGACAATCTAAACAAAGTGGACAAGACTGCACTGATTGAGTGCCTTATGAAACAACAACAAAACAACAAACAACAACAATTTATTTAGTAACAGACCTATAAAGTCTACAATGCCATTGAAATCTTGAAATCATTTTTTCTGTCGTTATGTAGCCGGGAAGTGACCTCCAAAGAGCTATCTGTCAGTCTGGAAAACTAACAAGTATATCACTAATGAATCTCGCCATCTATAAATCATGCCTTGATGCAATCATGAAGAATAATCCACTTGTGCAGACTTTGTCTTTTGGCTTTATTTTAAAGTTTGCAAAAGGTAAGCATTTTTAACATTACTAGCAGTGTCATTAAACTGTGATATCAGGTGTTAGTTTGTTGTTAATTTAGCTGTGCTAACATAATCTAATTATTAGATTATGTTAGCACACCTGCAAATAACAGTCGGTCATTGGACACCGGCAGACCAAAATTTGCTTGTGTTGGACGAAATCCCACCGGTGTTCGGACACTATTTCCCCATAATTTTTTTCTTGTAAATCATTTTACGGTAAGGAAGAATAAAAATCTACCTTGAGTAAATCTTACTTTGTGTTAGGACGATCTCAAAGTCACCAAACAGCATTGTCTTGGGTAATGAAGTTTTCTTTTACATTAGCGAAGTATGTCCTCTGTTTTACCCGATATAAAGTTCAATCTTTTGTTTGGTGATATAGGGCCAAAATTTTGTTTTGTCCGACCAACATGGTGTCTTCGTAGGACATATGTCCTTTCAAAGGAAAAAATAATGTTTACTACCCCATGTTAGCTTAAGTAAATAACTTTTAAATCTGTGGACAAAGTCCTATGGTTTTACCATTCAAATCAAACTTCTTTGTCAGTTCTTTTGCCTAAAATTTATTTTTCAGCATTTTACTAAGAGAACAGAAATTTGAGGGGTTTTTTGGGGTGGTGGGGATTTTTCTGTGGCCACTATTAGGTTGGAATGGGTTAATAATGTTGAAAGGTCTACGTTTATACTCTGCTTAATGGACACCCACTTTACATAATATGGACACCTCGTTATTACGGATAACTTTCTTTGTCCCTGGGGAAAGCCCTCACATTTTCTCTATTAAAAAAGTTAAACCTGTTTAATATGGATGCAACGGACACTTATTTTTTGCCTGATGAACAGTTACTCATAGAAAGTCGACCTCGCCAGTGTGGACACTTCATTATCAACTGAGACTGTGTGCTGTAAAAAAGCCCTTCCCTTAGAACTGAGTAAAAAAACTTTTTTTTGACAGCATGTCAGTGTTCCCAGTGCTAATGGTACAACTGATAGGATGAATTGTAGACGTCAATCTCAGACTATTTTGGCATCAAAACGAGTTATAAATGCAGAGAACGGTTTTGAATAAGTAGTATTATAGATGAGAGATTTTTTGAGTGTCTGTGGATTTAGTCCGCAGAATGATGGCTTTAAGAAGGTTAGAGATGTTTAACTTGGTAATGCTAATGTTCTCTTTTATTTCTTTAGTATTTTTTGTATTTTTGACTTTAATAATGTGACCCGCTTAATACGGACACCCTGTTAATACGGACACTTTCTATGGGCTCTTCAGTGTCCATATTAATTAACTGGGTTAGACTGTATGTAGGATTTGAAGATACCCATTCACATAAGATAGGACAAAATGTTCAAATCCTCAGATATATGGCAGATATAATCCTGGGCCGAGTTGTTCAAAGCTGGGTTAAGATAACCCAGGGTTAGTGCGAGATTTTAATTCAGATTTGAAAGCTTAAAAAGCATTATTTTCAGTTTTAATTGTCTACATGTTGATGATTGGAAGCTCTAAAAATAACAGAAAAAATTATCCGAGAAAATGCTGTAGAACACAAGAAAAAGAAACCCGCGTTAAAATTAACCCCGGGTTAATCGCTAATCGGCCTTCGAACACCTGGACTCAGATGTAAAGATGTCAAGAAGGATTATTTACTTACAGACCATGTATGCCTGTAATAAGTATTGTTAGCAATACGGTCCATGATTTGTATCTCAGTGCATCCTCTCTCCTTGTTAAGTCTCACCTCTGTCCCAATAGTTATCCATGAGTTCCCGTTAGGGTACTCCTTAACAACCGATTGTATACTTCATCTTCTGTACACTGAACCCTCTTAATACCAAGACCCGTCAATCGGGGCAACAGGCATTTTTTTGTAACCCAATCAACAGATTCTTATAGAGAGTCAACCTCACTGATGCGGACACTTCGTTTGACTGTGTGCTGTAATAACCCATTTTTTTTCTTCAGTTGGCAGAGTTGAAACGGGGTTTTTGTGAAGACTCCACTTACCAGTGTGTCCGTTCGGGCTTCCATAACATGACCTGTTTAATATCAGGAGCGGATCCACACCTTCAGATAAGGGGGCGGGGGGGTCATCCAGACCCTGAGATAAGGGGGAAGCCGGGTCTCAAAAAACATTTTTCGGCACGTCGGGCCTCAATTTAATCTAAAAATAAGGGGGGGGCCGGGCCCCCCGGCCCCTCCCCTGGATCCACCACTGAATATGGACACCCCGCTGGTATGGACACTAATGGCTTCCTCGGCTCGGTGTCCGTTTTACCAGGGTTTGACCGTGTAAAATAAGCTAAAGAGAACACAAAACCAACTAATAGAGCATGACCTTGAAAAATGGTTTCCGTAAGTGTTCGTTATTTGTTTTATCAGCCAATGGATGAAAAGATCAAAATATGGACTCTTCGCTTTCCCGCCAAAGAAAACCCTGATACGGAGAAGCCATTGTTTGATTGGCCAGTCGTATTGCAGTATGACGTCAAAGCGAAGTGTCGATTTATTTCTAGAAAGTTCTTCGGGCATGAAGTTTTTTCAGCCGAGAGTTCGCTTAACCATCCAAAAGCCACGCGCGTTTGTATCCGTTCGATAAACCAATCAGCTCGCTCTATTTCCGTTAGCTTTTTGTTACTGTTTTGTTTGCGCGTTTTCATTTCAAGGTCATACGAAAATCGCTCCATATTCTACAACGTTCAGGACAGACAAACTTGTTTTGTACTTTTTCGTACTAGATGATGATCTGGCAGATCCTGCAGTTTGCTCAAGTTTGACATCACTGGAGATACGTCACGCCAGTAAAGACACGATAAACCACATCCTTCATTGGGCTTTTCCTGACATTGAGCCGAGTAGAAATCTTACAAGCTTAAACCTGAGTTACAGCCAAAGCTCTAGAGTGTTTCAATTCTTTTCCAAATTCCCAGCCTTGAAGAAACTGGATTTAACAGGTTTTCGCTTCACTAAAAACATGTCCGTTGACGCATTTCGTCATCTAAGAAGGTTGGAATGGTTGGAGCTGAAAGGTTGCAATAGAATCAGTGGAAAAGAAATATCAGAATTATCAGAATCAGTTGGCAGGACTCTACGTTACTTGGGATTAGCGGATTTGCTGCTTCATCCACTTATCACTGATAATCATTTAAGAGATCTGGCGAGTATGTTTCTTGTTCTTAGAACTCTTGATCTGAGTGGATGCGTAACAATTACTGATGCACTGCTTGTGGAATGGTACGTGAAGAATGAGGAAACAAACTGGCCAAAGTTAAGAAAGCTTGTTTTGAAAAATTGTGGAGTCAGTCAAGAAGTTGTTAACTTAGTGCGACTAAAAACAAAAAATCATCTGTGGGTGGAATTGTGATCATTAAAAAATGCTTTTAAAATGATATGATATTCTTGTAATCTGTTCATCACCTGTAAGTGCACTATAAAAATACCCACTTTTAAGTTGTGGAAAAGCCTTCAAACCAACTGTTGTTTTTTTCAATAACAAATGCAAACTGTTGATTTTCTACCTCCACCCTCATAAGCCTGTAGATGGGTTTTTGGATCTTGTAACTGATGTGTTTACCGTGCATAAAATAAAGGTTTTATATGTCCTTGGTATTAAAAATATAAACGTTTATCAGCACACTAACGATAGTGTACATAAACGAAGGTTGCTCCCGTGAAACATGATGCACGATCCATGTTTCTTAGCTGCAGTGCACTATGGCGTAAAAAAATGGTACCTGCGTGATCTTAACCAACCTAACCTATCCCAAACACAGGTTGCTTGTATGAAATTACCAACCTAAATATTGACTGTTTTTTGTTGTGCGAAACTGGGTATTGCTGAACATGAATGGCAAAACGAAACGCTGCGCAGAGCTGAGTCGATCCTCATACGATCCTCACTTTTCTCCGTCTTTCCTTCAGATATCTAATGCAAAATAATTAAATTGTTCAAGTACAATGAATATCAACTCACCAAATGTTGCTTTGAACAAAGACTCGAAGGTTTCTTCGGAGTTTGATCCTAAGAAAATGTGGCTCATCGAATACTGAATAGTGACGAAATATCATGATTTTTATCATTGTGCCTGGGTAATGAATATCAACTCACCAAACATTGCTTCGGACAAATACTCGAGGGTTTCTTCGGAGTTTCCCGAGCAAATGTGGTTCATCGAATGCCGAATAGTTAAGAATATCATGATTTTTGTCATTGTGGCTGGGTAGATGGTTGAACCATCATAATTCACGAGGTTTTCAGATGCAATTATACTTAATGAAACAGTCTCTAATTCTGACGACTCTTAAAATAGACCATTTTCGATATATTCAAATTCACACTTGGCTCCGAGGCTTGGAGGAATAAAACAAAAGCAATGTATTATTCATTACAGATCCTCAAGAGGATTTCTTTTAGGCCATCCCAACAAAGTGTTTCGTTTCCCATCGCCCTCCCTCTCGTGAAGGTGGGTCGGTCGGTCGGGCAAAAAAAAAAAAAGAATGAACACATGACTGCATATTAAATCTCACTTTTAGTCTGCAAGATATAATCAGATGGTAAAAGATGTATATTAACAGGACTATCAAATGTCTAAAAAGGCCACAAAAACGAAGTATCGATGATAATTTAAGACAATTGGTGTTAATAAGACAAGATTGTGTGCTTGTAAATTAAAGTACTTGCTTCTTTACAAGTGATTCTGGAATTTTTTTTTTTTACTTTTCCAAAAAATGGGTCGGTCGGGCGTTGGGAAACGAAGCATTAAATTGGGATGGCCTTATTTTGTTCCCCAAGCCTCGCAGCAAAAAATGAATTTTAATATATCGGAATTGGACTATTCTTCAAGTTTTAAAATATGTTGCTTCTTGAAAGACAGGAGCCTTTACTTAAGGCATTGGTTACACATTAAACGAAACAGGTCCCAGTGGCCGATCCAGACCTTCAGGAAAGGGGGGTGGGGGGGGGGGGGTTCGGTCATCCAGATCCTCAGATAAGGGGGGAGGGGCCAGTCTCCCAAAAACATTTTTTCGGCCCTTCGGGCCTCAGTTTGGTCCAAAAATAAGGCCTAGATCCGCCATTGGGTCTTTATACATTTAGTTACGTCATTACTCAACAGCCAGTCTACGTGAGATTTTCAGTCACGTTACACGTGAAATTGTTGGACTTTGCCCCTTTTGTGGTTCGTACGATTTTTGCAGTTCGAAATTAGTGAATATTCGTGTTGTGTATTATTGAAAACCTCATACTGTTTGATAAGGTCAGGGTTTGCCCAGTTTTATTGGTCCACCAAATTTTGAATGTCCTTCAAAAGGCAACTAAGGAGGAGCAGCGCAATGGAACATATGATCTAAGTAGTGTGTTTTGTTTAGACATACATTATGGGCATACATTATGGCCACAAGTTGCTTTAGTTGCTAGTATATTGTGTACTTGTCTACCTTATATTGAAACATTGTCATTTTAATGTCATTTTTAATTTCAAAAGGTAATTCGTACTTTATAAACGGTATCGTGAGAAAAACCATGTCTTAAGATCTTATTTTCAGCTGTGGGTGGTACAGATCGGTACAAAGGCTTCCTTCAACAGAATGTTATCAATTCGCAATTTTTGTAGCCTGTGTACAGCCGCCCCTTACCTAAAAAAAAAATCGGTAAAATTAGGTAAGGGGCGGCTTTACACTAGCCTGCGTGCAGACGATAACTAAACTCTGATTAGTACCGTCTTCGAAGCAGCGCAGAGATCCTTGTTCTGGACCCCCAACGGACTCAACGAATTACCGGAAGTGCGTTTCGAATTCCCCTTCAACCTGATTGGCGATCACGACAAACAAAACAAAGGCCTTTTTTAACTGGCCAATCGTGGCGCGTACTCAAATCTGGGTACACAGCTGGAAGTCCAGAACAAGGATTTCGGCGCTGTTTCGCAGACGGAGTTAACTAGAGTTTAATTTCGTCTGCGCGCAGGCTAGCTTTACACAGGCTACAATTTTTGTGGAGATATGTAAGAGCTTTATCAAACACTGAGCACGGCTTATTTTACTTCTGGGTGATTCGGGAACAGACTTCTGAATCCACGGGTAGACTCAATACAAAGTGGACTTTTCAAAATGTTACCCGTTCCATGGCAGTCTCAACGGATGGAGTTTCTTGCTAATATTTATATAGGGAAGGGAGAGTAAACCGGTTTCAATGAAACCCATAAAATGGCCAGAAAAGGTTACAATCCAACTAGTGGTCTATCATCAATGCTGCGTTCTGATTGGTTGAGCTACTACTAGGCTATATGTTATAGCCCACTAGTAGCGAAAAGCGCCGGCTTTGAAAACCAAAACAATGGCGGCTGAATCGCGTTTTGCTAGCTAAAGTTGTTTTGTCTCGATATTTTTGACCAACTAGTTGGATGTTACTAAAACAATTATTCCTCTCGCCCTCATGGCCTCTGAGTCAATAGCCCATGAGGCCGACTAAGAGCCCATTCGGGCTCGAGGAATAATTGTTAACCAGCTACATGCACTCGTCCAAGTGTCTGCATGTTTTTTGAAAGGCGTTGGAGGGGTAGATGTGATAGATGCACAATAGTCGATTTTTCTTTACTCGTTTAAATGGGGTGATTCTAATACGATGACTAGTTCAGCTTTTGTTCCTTTTTTAATGCTCTTTAATAAGTCACTTTTAATATAAGAGAGACATAGTTTCATACATTTTATCCTTACATCATTAAACCCTTAGAGTATTATTAAGACGCTGCCGCTGCGTATTGCACTTCTTTTGAATGAATGCTACATGCGGTATTCCTCGATGTCATTGGTCTCCGCTAAAAATAAAGAAAGGAAGAAATTAGTTCTATGTAACAGCAATATTCTGAGTAAGATGGTGTTCAGCTTCACTCAGTAGTGATAAGTAAAATGTCTTGTTTTCATTGGTTATTCTGCTGTGATAATATTTCTCTTCCGAGAAGGTGGACGTCCATCATGGTTTAACGGTTTAACCCTTTAAGCCCCAATATGCACATACAAATTCTCCAAACTGATCTCCATACATTTCCTTCATGAATGAGTTGAGAGAATTTGATAAAAGATTAAGGCATTTTCCCTTAGGGTGATCATTTTATGAATTCTCATAACCTAATCTCCTGACATTGTATGGGTATCGTTAGGAGAAAATTGATTGCAGGGACTTAAAAGTTTAAAGGACTTTATCCCCACGGATTTTCATTTGATTTGTATTTATTTGGAAGAAGGAGAAATCTAACGTCAGAAAGCTTAGAAAAAAATCCGAGCTCCAGGTAAGAATCGAACTCAAGACCCTCCGAGTCGTCGTCATATTAGCAATTATATTATCGTATGATCGGGAAGTCTCTTATAACCAATAAATAAATTTGCTAAAACTCACGGGCAGCAGCAATGGAAGCCTTCAATACAAGTACCGTTGCAGGGGCTTCCTGGCGGCTCAAGTACATTGCAGTCGTATGCATCAGGAAGGCAATACTCGCAATCTGCAAAAGGTTCATGTTTATTGTTACTGAAGACAGTTACCTCACGAAGAACCTTGATGAAGTTAAATCAGCAGTTATAGGATAAGGCGAAGTATGACCAGAAAAATTATGGAGATAGACGAGGAGGGTGTTCCCCCTGAGTCCAAAAATTGTTGTATTTTTTCATTCAAAATAATTCCCAGTTTTAAAACAAGCTGAAACATCCATTAGGAAATAGAGTAATTCAGTTGAATTTTCAATGGACAAAAACCTTGTACCAGAATATTTTAAACCATATTGCATTCTTTCTTACACTTTTAAGGGCTATAGATATGATTAGTTATCTGTAATAACACCAAAGACAATTTCGCACAGGAGCCCGAGAAAATAAATTTCAAATTTCACAGGAATTAAGAAAACATAGGTAAAATCGTCACGCATGCATAAGATTTCATTTTGAGACATTTGAGGCTTTTGAAGTTTGTGTTCGCGGACTGCAATAAGAACCTTGTCTTCGGAGTTATCTCAAACAACTTATCACATTTATAGCCCTTGAAAAGTGTGAAAAAGAATGCAATATGCTTGAAATTATTGTGGTACAAGGTTTTTGTCCACTGAAAATTAAAATTACTCAATTTCCAAATGGACTTCATAAATGTCTCATCTGAATTTTCCTGTTTCTCATGCAGCAGCCTCAGGATATAAGGGCCGATGTTACGTCTAGCAGATATTCTCTACATAGTAGGTCACATTCGATGAGTTGTAGTTTTGCTGTGTTTGCAGCCGATTATGAATTGTAATATATCGAAATTGGTCTATTTGCAATTTCCATATCTCCCATAAAACACATTATTTGCCTTTCCCCAGCTTAATTTTATGCCTTTGATCAACC